ATTCTTGAAGGAACAGGATATTTCTAGAAAGAGGTGGCGTGATACTAGTCACGTGACCTCGCTAACGCAACACTATATTAGATAATCTATTTCTCTCAAGAATACTGTACGCAACAGTATTACCTAACGCTATTTCAATATGTTGGCGTCGTAGGCCTTTACTGCATTCAGTTTTTGGTATTTTCTTAATGCTGCACAGGGACGCTGTTTTCCTAATATGGTATGTCAAGGACGTCGCGAGAACGAGGCTAAGAATTTTGACGAGTAAACAAAGCAGATACTTTCCATTCATTCTACCCCTAACTACAACCACTACACAAGTCATCACATGGTTAAATATATATGTTACGTATCTGCCTGTTTGATAATTTCCGGTAGAAATTCTTTCTGAGGAACTTCAGCGATACAAGACCTTTCTTGATTAAACCAGTTTATTCTTCCTCGATACAAGCTTTTAGTACACAGTAATTCTACAGTCAATACGTTTCTCGTCACTTTAAACTTAACTTTTATAATATACGCTATAAATCAGTGATTCACACACGTTACTTACCGTCACAACTGTTCGCTTCATCGATATATCGCTGGCCTCTCTGCCAGGCTTATATACTAACAAAGGGGGCGTCTCAAATGCACTCGGCCTCCTCGATCACTCATGACCATTAGAGAAATTTCACGCACGCTACCAGCGCCAGCAGCGTCACGTGACTTCCGCTGTCATAACGCATAGATACCCATACAAATATAACTTATCAATCCTAGCTCCTTTCAAGGGTAACGTTTAATAGTACACTTGTCTTCTAAGAGGAAAATATGGGCGATAATAGAAGGTTTTAAGCCTATATTATAGTTAACAACTAGCTCTGTACTTTACATCCAGCTGTTTATGAACGAATCTACTCCATATAACTTGGAGCTGCCCCTCTCTTAATATTAAGTTTGTTTTAGAACACATTTATAATACCTAGTACTTAAAAAAATAGAAACGTAAGAAATGTTACTGTTTATTTACCTGGGTGTAAGAGTGTATATTCAGTGTATCTAGATTTTTAGAAAATATTTGACAAGGTG